GCGATTTAGTATTGTCGTTTGCTAAATACTTGAATCGACTAGGATCTACGAATTCTGCGTTGCGCATAAAGAAAAAGATGTGCCACTTGACAGAAATCCTGATGTCAAAGAAAGATTTTATTACCCTTCGTCAAGAGATCATTTTGCGGAATCGTTTGTTGGAAATATTCATCGAGTGGACTTCCGATTTTACTATGGTGAGTGCATGAATTGGGTTAATTATTTTTTCGCTTTTCAAAAAACTTGAATGACCAATGTTTATTACTAACAGAAAACAGATGCTCAAGGTAATAGCGAAAATTCTACGAATAGGAGTGAACGAATGCACCGCGAGCTGGACCAAGCATGCTTGAAAACCATTGTATCGTTGTTGATCCAATTACCCCTGCAGCCATCGGAAACTGTACACGAGACAGAATTGAGTGGAATCAAATCGAGATTGTTTTACAAGTATTTCTCATTCTTTATAAAGCTACTAAATCGTTGCAGGATTTTGGAAGTATGTGAGAATTGTTTTTTCGCACATCAATTTTGATGATGTTAACAGCAAAAAACCTTTTCGATTTTTGAATTAGGCAATTGATAGTGGAACTCACTCCGCGAAAAATAATCAAGATCTTCAGATGCTGCTGTCGAAGGTATTAATTGGCCACTAAAAAAAATGTGTTAATAAATTTTACTGTCTGTAACTTTAATTACCTCATTTTATCCATAATAGTCAAAGGAATACGTTAAGGACTTAGGACCATTGAAAGATTGCACGATATTGGCATTGAGTAATCTGCTAAGCGCGAATATTGATTCTGGATTGAAGTACTCGCTGTCGATGGGATATCATGAGGACACAAAGACCCGCACCGCATTCATGCAAGTACTCACCAACATTCTAAATCAGGGCACCGAATTTGAGGGATTGGCGGAGAACGCGATGAACGACAGATACGAAAAGCTGGTGGAGGTATGTGTTGAATTTTCTTGAATATTATGGACTTTCATTGTATTATGCATCTTTTTTTAATATGTTCTTCCGAATTGTTTTAGCTTGTAACGGATTCCGATTTAAGTATAGCGCTTTCACTTTGTGAAGTGTGCCCCGTGTCTGATATTGATGAGGTGGCAAAAACGCTATTTGCAGTATTTGATTCTCATAATAAGGCAATGCCAATATTAAAAGCTATCATTGAAAAAGAAGTCTCGAGCACAGGTATTTCATAGTTTGTTTATCATTTGTTGACGTTATTAGAAATATATAATACATACATACTGCGCACTTTTGATAGAATACGAATCTGACTTGTTCAGACGGAATTGCATGGCCACTCGAATGCTGGCTGCATTTGCGAAGACATATGGGACCGAATATCTTCGTGAAACTTTACAGCCTTTGGTTCAGGATCTCTTATCGCAACCTGAAGATTTTAGCTGCGAGTTGAATCCTGATAGTCTTGGTCCAGGCGAAGATAGTGAGAAAAATTTGACAAACTTGAGGAAAACGGCGCAGGCATTTCTTGATGGGATCTGCAATTCCGGAAGGACCATGCCTCCGTAAATATATTCAGATAATTTTGTGTTTTGTTTTATGGCCGCACTCTTTGAGTCATTTGTTGAAATTTCATTTGAACTTATTGTCAACAGTCAGTATAGGTATGTCTGTCATTACATAGGAAATTCAGTGAAGGAAAAATATCCACGGGCAAAATTTACCACCGTTGGCGCTTTCGTATTTCTGCGATTCTTTAATCCCGCGATCGTGGCACCCGATAGCGAAAACCTTTGTAAACCCATTGAAAATCACAAGATCAAAAGAGCTCTGTTACTGATAACTAAAGTCATACAGAATTTGGCGAACAACATTCTTTTTGGTGCCAAGGAGCCATATATGATTGTATTAAATGATTTTTTGGATGCTAATATCGTGAAGGTGACGACATTCCTGGAGGAGATTTCTGTAAGCTTTCTTTTTATTACATGACAATATATTTGATGAGCATTTAAACCACGCGCACTCTAATTTCATCGCATGGATGCAGGATTCTCCAAATCTTCCATTATTCGAGGAAATGGGAGCAGGTGAACAAACAAGCATTCGCAGACTGGACGAAGCTGATCGTAAGTCGCTTCATAAACATTTAAGCAAGAATCAAGAGAAGATAACAAAGGAACTTCAGGCGTACCGAGTTAAATCCATGAATCCTGCCAATTCCACGAGCTCAATGCCAGATCGATTCCAAGAAAGCAAAAAATCTTGGGATAAAATATCCACATTACTAGCACAGCTCGGTACATTCACCGAAAGTCAAAAGAAAGAGTCATCGGTAATCAGTAATCGCCACTCTGAGACAAATCACCATTTGTTTACAGAATTTATGCGACAAAATGCGAATCGTAATGTCGAAAATATTATTTCAAAAGGTGTATTCTATGAGGGTGGCATCTCCAAGGAAAAAAGACCGGTATTTTATCTGATACTACGGAGACTTGAAGCAGAGTCGACTGATATGGAACTATTGATGTATCATGTGCTTCATGTAAGTCACATTTACCGCTTCACGCAATTCCAATAATGAATTTGGTTAAAAGTTCGTTGCTCAATTATTCCATCTTCACACGGTTTATTTTTTATATTTAGATGACTCTTTACCCAAACTACT